AGCCGTTTAAAAGATATTCCAAAAAAACCACTTTCAAAAATAATTTTTTTCTTATTTTTTTTTAGATTTTTCAAAATTTCTCAAAATCTATCGGTCCGAATCGGTTCAAATTCTCAGGAAATCTAAGTTTCAGGGAACTTTTTAGAACGCCGTTTAGTTCGTTCCGATCGGTTCAGTCGTTCAAAAGTTATAAGCGAGTCATATAGTCACACACACACACACACACACACACACACACACACACACACACACACACACACACACACACACACACACACACACACACATACGACCACAACGCGATTCTCTGGGAAATATTAAACGCCCAGAGCCCGAGAAGACCTAAAGAGCAACTTAACACCATTGGCTGGAAGTTAAAAACTCTTGACCCAAGTGCATTGTTAGTAGCTCTCAATAGTGACCAGATTATCGCGGGCTGCGCAGAAGAGAAGACTAAGGACCTGACGAAAAGAGTGACCCAGGCGTGCGACGCCAGTATGTCTCGTAGACGTGGCATGAACACAAGACCTTCCGTTCACTGGTGGAACGACCACATCAGCGCCCTTCGTAAAGAGTGTCATCAAAAGAGAAGAATATCTCAGCGTGGCTACCGACGAACTAACTCTGTGGAACTGGTTGCAGAGTACAAAAAAGCCCGTCGATCCCTGAACAAAGCCATCAAAGATAGCAAAAGAAAATGCTGGAAGGAGCTCATCAACGAGGTGGACAGAGATCTGTGGGGTCGGCCGTATAAGGTGGTTATGACTCATCTTAAAAACCAGCTAATGCCATCACCCACGTGTCCTCAACTCTTACAGAAGATCGTAAACGCGTTGTTCCCCGGACAAAGCGAGTTTAACTACCTAGTAGCGCAGAATGAAATGGATGACATTCCATTTGTCACGGAGGAAGAACTGATGGAGGCTTGTAATCGTGTAGGGAACAATAAAGCGCCGGGATTGGACGGGGTCCCCAATATTGCCTTAAAAACAACTATAAAAGCAGTGCCATCATTATTCCTGGACGTCTACGACACATGCCTCAAGGAAGGGATTTTCCCTCGGAAGTGGAAGCAGCAACGACTAGTACTACTTCCAAAAGGAAAAAAGCCACCAGAAGAACCGTCATCTTATCGACCACTTTGTATGTTAGACACGGCAGGTAAGATACTTGAGCGTATAATCCACCAAAGAATAGAAGCAGTTGTCGATCCACTCCTGGCAGATAACCAGTATGGTTTTCGGAAAGGACGATCAACCTTGGACGCAATCAACCTGGTTGTTGCAACGGCCAAGGAGGCAATCGAAGGGATCAGATGGAAGGGTGGAGCAAAGAAGTACTGTCTGGTGGCCACTCTGGACATCAAAAATGCCTTCAACTCCGCCAACTGGGACTGCATTATGCAAGCTCTGGAAGAGAAAAACGTACCAGGATACCTACGTAGGATAGTGGCTAGCTACTTCACGGACAGAATCCTGAGATACGACACGAAGAATGGTCCAAAAGAGTACGATATTACCGGAGGCGTACCCCAGGGTTCTGTTCTGGGTCCACTTCTGTGGAATGTCATGTATGATGGCCTGCTGAGACTGACTCTACCAAGAAGTGTCAAGCTTGTTGCATACGCAGACGATGTAGCTGTCATAATCGTTGCGAAACACCTAGATGAGATAAACCACATATTCAGTATCACCTTTGAGAAAGTTAACCGGTGGATGGATTCAATGAATCTACAACTGGCTAAACAGAAGATTGAGGCTGTGCTTATTACCAGCAGAAAAGTGATAGAGACCATAAAACTGAAAGTCGGAGAACAAGAAATCACATCACAACCATATATCCGATATCTGGGAGTGATGCTTGATGCCCGACTCAACTTTAAGCAGCAAGTCGAACACGTGAGTGCAAAAGCATCAGCAGTGGTAGCTAGCTTAGCACGGCTGATGCCAAACGTCGGAGGCCCAAAGCAGAGCAGAAGACTACTACTATCATCTGTAGTCACATCAGTGCTTACTTACGGAATATCTATCTGGGCGGACGCACTAGAAAAGCAAGAATCATGGAGAAAGGCTGGACCAGTATATCGTCTGAGTGCCCTAAGAGTAGCTTACGCCTTCCGCACAATATCTGAGGAAGCAGTGTGCGTCATTTCTGGAACTCTACCTCTCAGAGTCCTAGCTGAAGAAAGACGGAACCTTTACCAACGAAAGAGGTCAACAACACTGAGCGCAGAAGAACTCAGAACGGAACAAAGACAGCACAGCATCGCACGATGGCAATCTCAGTGGGATGCCGCAGAAAAGGGTAGATGGACGCATCGTCTCATACCAAAGATCGACATTTGGCTGAACCGGAATCACGGTGAGGTCAACTACTACCTAACACAGATGTTGTCAGGACATGGCTGCTTTCGGGCTTATCTTCACCGCTTTAGGCATGACGACTCTTCGGAGTGCCCGTCCTGCCCTGGAGCCACTGAAGATGCAGAGCACGTTTTTTTCGAGTGCACGTTTTTTTCAATCAACAACGTGAGGAGCTGGAGACGATCCTGAAGAAGACAATTCAACCAGAGTCAATCGTAGAAGCAATGCTGTCTTCAGAAGCTGCCTGGAATGCAACGAACACTTTTGCCACAGAAGTGCTTACAGAGCTGCGTTCCATCGAGAGAAAAAGAGCAAAAGACAGAATCTAGAAGGAAGATAACATCTTAGCCACCAGAAGGAAGAGCGGCAGCTAATTCCTCCCCCCGCGAAGAAATGCCTTACGGCGGTACCATGGGGGATCAGAGGATAGAAGAGAAAGGGGTTTAGGGTTTAGTGGGTAGGGGCGTCAGCGTCAAGTTTTTAGTATGACGCTGCGTCAACATCTATGCCTAGAATCCGTAAAAAAGATTCCCCCCCCCCTAAAGGGAAAAAAAAAACACACACACACACACAGACGTACGGACATCATCGTAAAAATAGTCAGGGAAGCTTCCTGTGACCTTCAAACGTCGAGATCTGATGAAAACTCGATTTTTGTAAAACGGGGTGAAAACAATAACTTCCCGATTTTTGAAAATCTGAGATTTTTAGCGGGAAAGTTAAAAAATTATAAATGTTAATTTTTTACCTAGTTATGGCGCAAAATGGGGTTGACCCCACTGTGAAATGATGCCCAAAATACCCTTTGGCCTTTTTAAAAAATTGACTCTCGAACTAATAAAAAAACTATACTCGAACATCTACATAAACATCGTAAAATAATTTAGTTAAAGTGATTCAATCACTCAGAAACTTTAACTCAATACTTTTAGATATATGTACTTTAAAAGAAAGTAAAAAAATAAATTTTTTTTAGTTAGTTATTACCTACATTAAAAAAACCTCTTAAAGTTATAAAAAAAGAATTTTTAATAGTTTGATGATTATAAATTATTGCTCATACTAACACATTTATTTTAATACAGATATCGAGGAAGAAAAGAAGAAAGAAGAATGGAAGAAAGCTGCCAAGAAAGAACTCGAGGAAAGGAAAAAAAAAAAAACACACACACACACACAGACGTACGGACATCATCGTAAAAATAGTCAGGGAAGCTTCCTGTGACCTTCAAACGTCGAGATCTGATGAAAACTCGATTTTTGTAAAACGGGGTGAAAACAATAACTTCCCGATTTTTGAAAATCTGAGATTTTTAGCGGGAAGTTAAAAAATTATAAATGTTAATTTTTTACCTAGTTATGGCGCAAAATGGGGTTGACCCCACTTGTGAATGATTGCCCAAAATCCCTTTGGCCTTTTTAAAAAATTGACTCTCGAACTAATAAAAAAACTATACTCGAACATCTACATAAACATCGTAAAATAATTTAGTTAAAGTGATTCAATCACTCAGAAACTTTAACTCAATACTTTTAGATATATGTACTTTAAAAGAAAGTAAAAAAATAAATTTTTTTTAGTTAGTTATTACCTACATTAAAAAAACCTCTTAAAGTTATAAAAAAAGAATTTTTAATAGTTTGATGATTATAAATTATTGCTCATACTAACACATTTATTTTAATACAGATATCGAGGAAGAAAAGAAGAAAGAAGAATGGAAGAAAGCTGCCAAGAAAGAACTCGAGGAATGGTACAAACATCATGCTGAAACAACTAGTAAAACTAAAGCAACTAACAGGTGTGTATCTTATCACAATTACTTTTCTAAGCATTAGGTCATTAAAATGCAGATCATTTCATAAAATTATACATCAGTTTAATAACAAACCAATTATTGAATTTATAATATAATAATAAAAACAAAATCTATTTTGATTTTGCTTCTTAGGGGAAATGCCAAGTAAGTTTTTTATTTGAATAAATAAGCATGTTTCTAATGAATAATTACAAATATTCTGTATCACAAACTTCTATTTTAATTTATAAAATGCAAATCAAAGTTAACCCTAATACCTAATTTTTATTTCAATAACTATAAAGAAATAAATATTTAATATTTAATCAGGAATTAAATTTATCATTGATAAAATTTTATTAATATTTAATGCACAGTGTAGTTAGAAAGCCTTAAAATTGCTTTAAGCGCATGTATTTAAAAAATAAATTATTAATATTAATAAAGTTATAATTTTTATTAGAGTTATTTCTCTAAACTCAACACTCGCATTTTTTGTTGTAGAAAATTATACGTCATATTTCGAGAGTGAAGTTCTTAAAGTTGCTAGTTGAATAGAATTTCTTTAAAAATTTTAAGATTTTTTTTTACAACTATCAACAACCTCAGGATTAAAAAAAACAAAAATCAATCAATTCTGTTTTGAAAAAAGAATTTTTATTATTAATCGCTAAAAAATCACGCAAATGAGCGCATTTTGTTAATTCACGATTAATATTTGAATTTTAACCGCAATAAATGAAATTTACTAATGTAGAAATTTTTTTCAACAGAAACGCTGAAAAACAATTCGTAGCAGAAGCAGGAGAAGTCGAGCCAGGAACCGAGTGGGAGCGTATCGCGAAACTGTGTGACTTCAACCCAAAATCTTCGCGGATATCCAAAGATGTATCGCGTATGCGATCAATTATTTTACAACTTAAACAAACGCCTCCAGCCACTACATCAATGAACGCTTAATTTGTTTTATTAAACAACTCACAAAAACAATAACAATAATTAAATTAACACTAAATATATATATATATAATCTAATATTAATAATAAAAATACGTTCCATTTTATGTTAAAATTGTTTATTTTGAAATTTATTCAATTAGATAAATTGTAATTATCAGTTCATTATTATTAGCTAACTATAAATAATTGTAAAAAAAAATAAAATTGAAATTTCATGAACTAATTAAATTTATTTTCTTTTTTTTTTTAATTTCACATTCAGGTAATAACTTTTTTGTTGATTAAACAGTTTTACAATTATTATCATTTTAATATTATAAAAGATTATTGAAAAATATATTTTTTTTTAAATATTCTCTTATATTACAGTTTAAGTATAAATATCTAGTAATTAATATAAATGTTTTTTTTTTTTTTCGTTTGATTTCAATTAGTTGAAGGAAGAACTGTGAAGAGAAGAAATATATTTGTGGCAATTTTAATTTAAAATTTTGAAAGAGGAATTTTTTAAATCATTTGCTTGGAGTTAACAGAGCTTTTCTAGGTGTCCGGAAACTGAAACTAGAAAAAAGTTATGTTAGTAGTTAAAAGTAATTTAATATTTGAATCGTTATTAATCGTTCTGAGAACACAACTAGCGTCAGAAGTAGCAATTTTGCGAACTTTACTTCAAATAAATGACAATTTTTCATAAGCTCAGGGCGAATAATTACCATTCAAATACTGTAAATTATATAATTTATAACCAATAGATATTTACCTTATATCATTTTTACGTACTGCTAATTGTAAATCATGCTTCCATTGATAAATAAGAGGGTAAACTTCAGGATCAATAGTTTCCGGTAATGCATTCAGAACAGCAATGTCTATTTTACTTGGCACGGATCTAAAATATTAATTGTTATAAATTATTCAATTACTCATATAATCAAAAACTACACCTCTGTTTATCTTCATAATGAAATTTTAAATAGAAAAATATTTTTAAAAAAGTCGTAGGACAACTCGGCTGCCCATTTTTAAAACACAGTAACTGCAAAATTTTTATACCTGATTATTTTTTAGTATTGCTGCATTTTTTATAACTTTTAGACCTTAATTCCAAGTATTTTTTCTTAAAAATATTTGTATTTAAGTATTTTCTATTCATAAATCAAATTTGTCATCAATTTGGCGGGCAAACTTTTTTTCAATAAGAAAAATTGAAAAAAAATTTTTAAATGTTAGTTACTGTGTTTTGAAATTGGGCAGCCGAATTTTTTGACTAGTCCTAGATTTTGTTTTTAAATACTTATATTGAAGATAAAAAGAAATATTACTACTGTAATTAAGGAGTCATTCTGGTTTGTAACTTTCAAAAGAATTTTTTTTTTCACTTTTTTCTAAAGTACATAGGGTAAAAGATCCCATTAGTGGCGGGGACCACATTACTGACACTTTCTTTGATTTTGGTACTTATTCAATTAATTAAATCATTAATTTCAATAATAAATATATTATTTCTAATCTTTAAGACCTTTTGATCAAAAAAATTTTTAATTTTTATTCCAAGTAGAACATTTTTTCATTGAAAGAAAAAGTGCCACTAATGGGGGTTAAAGGTGCCACTAATGGGGTCTTTTACCTTATATCTAAAAGTATTGAGTTAAAGTTTTTAAGTGATCGAACCACTGTTACTACATTAGTTTATGATGTTTGTGGATATTCGAGAGAAAAAAATCAAATTTTTGAAACGGCTACAGAGATTTTGCATGGTGTCGGCATCACTGATTGATTTTAGATAAAATTTTTTTTTTAATTAAAAAAACTTTAAACGTATTTATCAGAACTATGTTTTCCTGGTTGATTGACGTACATATCTCTGGAACCACTGACCCGTTTTTAATAAAATTTTAACCACATATTCTACATAGTAGGAGCTTGCATCAGCTCCAATCAAATAAAAATTTTGATTTTTAATATTTCTTTAGTAAAAACTGTAAAAGAAAATCTCATTACTCAGTTTTTTTTTTAATGCACCATTTTTTTATTTATCAATAAACACTTATTTTCGTAGCTGATGCAATAACTTAATATATACATGAAAGATAAATGATTTTGGTTTTTTGTGTTTTAGATGAGCCGTTATCTAGTTAACATGTACGTCAGCGACATGACAACTTTTGGAGCTCAGTTCACCCATTTTTTGTTCATATAAGGTAAAAGACCCAGTTATTGACACTAGCCTAGTTGTTTGACACTTGCAATTTCATTCTAATTAAAAAAATAAAATCTTTTCAAAAAACCAATTATCTTAAAATTTATAATTCAAAAATTATATTTATTAATTTATCAGAGTTGATTTATTTTTTTTAATTAAAATAAAATTGCAAGTGTCAATAACTGGGTCTTTTACCATAAATAATTAAAAAAAAAAAATATAAATATTTTTTATGTTATTCAAGAGTATTTTTTTGTTGAGTTGAATAAATTTTTATATTCATATCTATAATAGTTTGTGTGTAAAGAAAATCATGAATATTGTCTTTTTTCGAGCGCCGGAACCAGAATAACCCCTTAAAAAAAAAAAAAAAAGAAAATAATCATACCCTTGAATAAATACTGGATGCCCTTCTGAAGGCATAAACATTTCGTCTTCGGAACTACTGTCTTCAGAAAAATCCGAATAATCATCAAAGGGCAACGGCGATGAAGGCGGCGTATAAAATTTCTCCTCAGCAACAACATTTTTAGGAGAATTAAGTATCAATAACTCCATATTTTTAATCAACGCATCCATATCATTATCTTTTTTATCAATAAAATTATTCTCAAACTTATTGAGTAAATTTTTCTCATCCTCTTGTTTACTGTAAAAGTCTATAGGTTTTATATCATCAATGTCGTCCTTATTATCAGACTGAATACAATTTGCTGTTTTAAAGTCTTTAGATAAATTTTTAATGCTCTTAAACTTAGGATATGATTTTCCTTGTTTAACAGAATTTATCGTTTTAAATCGCTGTAGTTTACTTAAATACTTTTCTAGTTTATCTAGGCCACTAGTGGATTTTAAATCGGCAAATTCGTTTAAGAATGGCCAGAATTCTTTCCATGAGACGTGATACTCTTCTGCTAAGTCTCTGCCAACTCTTTCCAAACCTTTCTCAAGATCAATAAGCCTGCAATCAAGTTTTTCTAAGTGAAGCGGGTCATTGATCGAAGTATCACGTTTGGGTGTACCAAACAACATTCTGGGTGGCGTTTTCCATTTTTTTCTAAACTCCAGAGCTTGGGGCTTAGTCATTGGACCCGCAAAAGCTTTTACTTCTAACCGCGGGCTGATTGGGTCAATGACCAGCCGCGGTGGGCTTGCTGGAGAAAATGGTTCACCAATCGCCGGAGCCAGTGAATTGTCTTCGGACCTTATCACAGGAACGTAATATTGATCTTCAAGCAGTGCACGGATTTCTCGGATCAATTTTCCATCATCTTCCAGAGGTTTTCTGTCGCATATAATCTGAAAAAATAATTTTAATTGTCAAATTATTTATATTTTTAAATGAATAAGAAAAATTTTGGGTAAATATTTACAAGTGGAGTCAACCATTTTCATTTTTTGAACGAAATTTCTATTTGATTTTATTTATATATTTTTTTTTTGAAAAATACGTAAAAAAATAAACAATTAAAAAAAAAAAGTTGATTATCACAATTTTAACAAATTTTCAAAAAAATTTATAAATTTATTAGAAAATTCTGATGTTCAACTTTTCTTTTTTTTAATTGTTCGTTTTTTTATGTACTTTTAAAAAAAAAAAATATATCAAAAACATCAAAAAAAGATAAAATAGAAATTTTATCTAAAAACATGAGAACCAAAATTTTTTCCAACTTTTGAAAGCAAAAAAGTTATCGAAATCTTTATTTTTTTCTATTATGACATTTTTTTGTCATAAATGCGCCGTAAAAACAAGCAGAATGAAAAATTTTGAAAACTTTAATTTTTCACCTAGTTATGGCCCAAAATGGGGTTGACCCCACTTATAAATAATTACAAAATTTTGTCTCCGGTATATTTCTATGATAAATAGTATATTACATACCTAGGCCAGTAAAATAAGAAAAATCTCAGATCACATGTAATTGTTGGTCGAGGCGAAGCCGAGGTTGACAAACATGTGGCCTGAGGCTTTATTTTTTACTGGCCAAGGTGTGCATACTATTTTTTAAATTAAATTTAGTATCATTGAAAAGGTCTTGATCTTAATTTGAGGCTTTTCAATGTTTCATATGCTTTTAAGCAATAGCTAATTTATTATGATAAGTTTTCGAAGTAGTTATAATTAGATTCGAATTTAGCAATAAACGTCATTTGTTTATTTATTTATTTTACTTTGAACATGTGACTGTGATTATAAGTCAAGAATTAATTTATATAATTAAGAGACTGAGAAAAATTTTGAAACGGGTATATCTTTATGGTAAATTGGTTTTAATATTTTTTTCAGCCAAATAGTCATTTATGATTTAAATAATTGAGAGAGTAAGGAAAATTTTGTGACACGCATATTATTATTTTGAAAGGAGTTTTTATAGTTAAATTTTGTATCATCAGAAAGGTCTTGATAAGAATTCTTTTTTTTTTTTCATGGTATAATATATTTTTTAGTGATATTCAATTTTTTATGTTTTTAGAGCAGTTTTGAATAGTTTATTGGTTCTATAAATTTGTTCCGGCTCATTTGTTCACTAAATTATTTGTAATTGATCCTGCGATAGCACTATTATTTTTTTAATTTATTTCACAAGTACCCAAACTATAGTGTAATTAAAAATATCAAAAAATCATTAAGTCAAAATTTTCCCATTCATAATTTGCAAACTTTGGCAGTCGTACAGTAACTGCAGGTTGCTAGTTTGTAACTACCATATTTATTTTAAATAGTCTGTAATTATTTACCTCCATCGGTGTTTGGCCATGCTTATTTTTGGCCGTTCTAGAACACTGAGGATAAGAAACCAAAAGCGCTACAACGTCTTTAAGTCCGTACTTGACAGCAAAGTGGAGTGGCGTTTCGTTCAGCCCTTTGTTTGGAGTGTTTAAAAATGCTTCGATAAATACTTGGCTCTTGTTTACGTACGATGCGGTTTCTTCAATGCCATCAATTAATTCAATGAAGTTAGGATCGCTTATCACATCGAGAACCAATTTGCACATGTTGAACGCGTCAGAACTCTTTGATGTCGCAACATGGAGTGCATTGTAACGTGGTCCTTCCTAGAATAAAAAAATTTTTTGTAAAATATTTGTAAATTGATTTTTTTGTATAATTATCAGAAATTTATTGATAATAATACATGTTCACTAGAAAATTGTTTAATAAACTTATAAATAAATTTATTGTTTACATAAGTCTGGTATTTTGTGAAGAGTATTATTTTGATAAATGAAAGTTTTGTTTACTTGCAATTGTTGACGGTTAAATATTCACAAAATTAAGTTGTTATTCATAATAATATTTATTCAATATGTTGTCACGAGTCAATACTCGTGAGTGATAAGTTTGCAAAGAAATTATGTTGAAATTAATAAATAGACTTAAAATTCTCAGAAATAGATTCATGAAAATTGTTTTTTTGTCTTTTACTCTATGAAGAAAAAAGACTATTAATTCTAATTTAATTTTTGAACTTTCCTAATAATAATTCTTATGAAATTCATGTAAAATTCATATAAAAATCAACAGGTGACAATTTTTTAATTTTATAAAAAAAATTAACTATTACTAAGAAAATAGTTACTAAAAAAATTGTATACAGTTTTTTTAAAGTAAAACTTTTTTTCCATAATTTTTAAAAAAATTCTTAAAAATATAAGATGTCTGTTGATTTTAGTCGTATTTTTTTTTTTTTTTTTTTTTTTTTTTTTTTTTTTTTTTCACTATCAAAGAAAAAATAAAAACGTAAAACGATATTGTAATTAACATATATTTGCTCATTTTTAGTGTAGAATCTTTCAATAAATAGAATTTTGAAAAAAAAATTACTAAAAGATAAATCGAAGATTTTAACGCATAAAAAATGATAGAAACAGCAAGAACAGCAATAAAAAAAAATAAAATTTTTTTATAATTCTTATGTTAAGAATTATTAGGCAATAATAAATAACAGACTGAAAACAATATTGAAATCAGTAAATACTTGACCATTTTTAAGTTTTCTTAACAAAAAAATTAATATTGAAAAACTATTTTTAAAAAAATGTATTCATTTTTTTTACTAGTTCTACATATGGAATTTTCTTTTATAATAATTTTTTCACTAAAATAATCTTAAAATTGATCAAATATCTTTTGATTCCATTATTATGTATAAAATTATAATTTCAAAAGAAAAATTAGTATTCTTATTTAACAACGCTCTTGTCCTATAAACTGATCAAAAAAATTTCTGTAAATGTAAACAAACACATTAAGAAAAACCAAATTATTAATTCTAAAAAATTTACCTGCAAAATAGTCGGATTACCACTGACACCAACTAAATACCTCGGGTTCTCCCAAATACAATTTTTGACACCTTCCAAGTCTCCAGTCTCAATCAGTTTTCGAAACACCACTAGTTCCTGAGGCTTCAGACTTTTAAAATTTGGTCCTTTCTCATCAACAGGTTTGCACGAATTTTCAGCAACAACTTTACCATCAACATTACTCCCATTAACCGAGTAGTTAAGACTGTCTCCATACCTCGCGTATTTTTCAGCTTCCTCCCAGCTGCTGAAAGTCTTCAGTCTACCTGTTTTGTACTTTTTTATTACTTTCAACGCGTCTAGCTTGTCTTGATACACATGGAGCTCATTGTCTGAAAACAAAATTCAATTAGTTAAATTCATAATTGATGAATTATTAAAATAAAAATTATTTTTTCTTACCGAGCTCCTCAGTCTCTGGAGTCGTTGGCTTTTCATTGACAAAGACCGCATGATAAACATTTTTGTTTGTTTTCAAGCTATCTAGCATATTTAGATGATCACTCTTGGTGTTAATCAACCCATTGACACTCATCTTAACATATTCTTTAATTATTGACAAAACAATTTTAGGTTAGATATTTTTCTAGGTTATTTTTTAATAAAACAGAATTTTCTCGAACTTTTTTTTTAATAATTAATTAAATTAATATTTAGCGTTACAACCATAAGTTTACTAACTGTCAACCTCAATAGTAATAAAAAAAATTCAATACCCTGATTTTTTTGTGATAACTGTATTTATTTTACCGAAACAATCTTAAAATTAAACAAAAACCCGCGATTTTAATGTAACACGCGTTAATTTTATTTCTTCTCGTTGTTTATTACTTTTATAAAAAAACTAAAATCTGTTATGATGTTATGTAAATAGTTTTTAATAATAGTAATGATGATAATGTTATTAAATGGAAAAATATGAACACGTAGTAGATTGTTTACAAACTTTGGCGAATGACCTTAGCGCCATGTTTGTTTTTTTACGCAACGTGCCACAGCATGCGCACTTACTGACTTGACCTTTTAGTTCCTCTTTATTAATTTATTCAATTATCATAGAAGTTTACACATTTAATTTCTTAAATGAACTAGTTTTTTTTTAGCCAATTTTATGTTACAATTGACGACAATTGTTTTGAATAATTTATTTATTTTTTCATTGTTAAAAAGCCCGCGAAAATTTGAAATTAATTAGAGCGTTTAATTTTTTTATTTTTTTCGTAATTCAATAATAAAATTAAATAGATTAATTTTTTTTTATTAATTAGTAATTAAGTAGTTCAATTCTGAAGTGATAATAAATTTTAAATGTCTATTTAGTAAAGTATTTCTTGAATTATTTTTATTAAGTTTTAAAAAGTAAAAATTATTACTAAATCTTTAAAAATAATTTTTGACAAGAAATTTTTTTAAATAAACTCTATAATTTAATAATTGTTAATAGCGGATGTTAAAAATTATTTTTAATTTAATTTTGATAAATAAAATTTTAGAAAAATATTCAGTATCGCTCCATTCTGAATCATAAAAATTAGAAAATTGTAAAAACCAAAATTTTTAAATAAACTCAATTTATGAATTTCAAAACTGTACATTTAGATTATCTTTATTTGATATTTTTATGATTGAATTGTTTTCGAATAATCATATTTTTTTTCTAAACAAAATAAATAATTAAAGAAAAATGTTTATTTTTTTAAATGATTAAAAAATTTTAATATAATAGTTAAAGATAAAAGATCACTTGACCATATACATTGTTAAGATTAAAATAAATTAATCGAATTTTATAAAGATAACAATAAGATATGTATAATAAATGTCGATGAATATCAATTAGTGCCGTTTAATGATAACAAAAACTTAAAGCTTATCTTTTTATATAAAAGAGTTAATGTTACTTAATCGAAGTTCACACTTGTTCATTTCTTTTACGAAGTTTAAGGTTACATAATTAAATTTTTAACTGCAAAATACTTGTAATCCTGTAAAAAAATTTTTTTGGTGGATCAAATAAGGTAAAAACTTGGTAAATTATACAATTTAAAATAAATATAAGAAAAAGTTATTCATATAAAAGCACATTATTGTTTCAGGTAAATAAAATCATCTGCATCTTATTACTTGGCTAAGAATTAATTAATTGTTTGTAGTAAAGGATATAGTGTAATAACGTTTCTTGAACTTTGTAATCACCAAAAGTTAATGACCGGGTGTCTTAGTAACAGTTATCAATTGTTATTGTTATTATTATTTTTATGTTACATTACATTATTATTTTTACATTACATTACATTACATTATTTTTATGTAAAATCTTTCATCTGATTATTATTATCATTTGTAATTATTGTGAATCGATTCTGATATAAATTATTCTCAAAGCAATATGTCAGGGGATGTGACCTATAATTGTAATGAAATTGAATGAATTTTTTAAAAATATTAAGTTGTTTAAGTTTAAAATACAATTCAATTGATTCTTAAGTTATTTAAATTGATGTAATTACAGTAAATTAAATTTTTATTGGTAATTTATAGTAAATTAGTTTGAACACTATTTATAAAAATTGTAGATTTGATATTTACGTTTCCGGGATTACGATTCTATATTAAACCGACTTTGCTAAAATTTTATTAAGAAAAAACAGTTTCGATTTTTTTATAAGTAGAGATATTCTATTATTAAATAAAATTACATTAGAGTATAGCAAATACGAAAAACTTATTGCTTATTTTCGAGCGCAAAGCTCGTGAATATATTTTGAATTTTCGGGATCGAAAAACTCAAACGTGGCAGATTGGGTCAAAGAGAACAACCTGCACTGAAAAAAAGTTTTCTGCTCCGCACGATACGAGATCGGCTCACTGAAGTTAGCCCTCCAGAATTTGTTTTTTTTTTTTATTTTTTTTTTTTAATTTCAAGCGGGATCAGCACATAACATCTTATCGTCACAAGCTCAACTGGCTGCTTGTTAAATCACGTAGATGTTATTCTTTGGCATGCTTGCTCTTTAAATTATTTGAGACCGGTCAACCAAAATTTCTGCGTGATCTTTTCCATGAAGTTGATGCTGACGTAAGACAATCTAGTAGATTGTTAGCGAAAAATAATAATGTCACTTTTAAAATGCCAAACTTTGCTACCACTGTATTTGAGCATTCATTCGTCGTAACTGCTATTCGAACTTGGCAAGAACTACCAGCTGACATCATAAACTCGCAATCCATCGAAATTTTCAAAAATAAAGCCTTTACCTATTTTGTGAATCTTGAAACAATGAGTTAATAATAGCCTTATATAGATTTATTAATTTAGTTTAATAATTTAAAATAATAATTTATAATCTAGTTGTAAATTAAAATCATAAATTAATCCTATTATTATTATTTGCTAAACTATTTGCTTAACTATTATTAATTGCTAAACTATCTCTAACCAATATTACTTATGTTAATTTTGTTGATATAAACTTTATGTATCTTTGCCATTCGGCTGTTAGCTTTGGCGTATATATTTAATAAATAAATAAATAAATAAAAATATGTCATTATAAATAGCTATGACTTTTAAACGTTTCGTTTGATTTTGACTTGTTTGGCGGAATTCTAAAAATTGGTTCGCAATCACTAAATTTCTATTTTTTTTAATTATTAATTTCCAAAGCGAGAATTAAAAAATGAGAACTTTTAAGAAAAATGTTTTTCTCCGCGGCAAATTTACGCGCATGCGCAAAATCAAAGTTTTTTCTATTGCGCGATCACAAACGTAATTTTTTCAAGTTTTGAATAAAAATTTGTGTTATTTACAAGTTATAACTAAAGAACGTCTGTAAAATTTATCAAATTTGACAATAATTCAAGGACTTATTATTGTCATGTCATAAAATTCTTTACATCATAAAAACTATCATCAGAAAGGAAAACTATAACTTTTTATAACCTACGAAAATATTAAAAATTTAAAGCAATAACATTATGATGATTTGATGCTACTATACATGCGTATAAATAATTATCTGTATTAAAATTTTTTTTTACTTGTTAATTAATTGGTTAATTCATTAATTTGTTTTTGTATCTATTTACAGATCACTGTCAGTAAAGATCAAAAGGTTAAGAATGGTAATGAGAAGTTTATTTACACAAGTTACAAGTTAATGGATTTAAAAATTTCACTATTGGGATAATTGGCCAAATTATTATTAAAAATCATGTCACTGTTAATGAGACAACATTCCTTTATTTACAAAATACCTTTGCGCTTAAGGTATTATTTTTAATTTTTTATAATTTTGAAGATTTATTTTTTTGATATTGAAATTAGTTGACTGATAATTTTTTAGTTTTATTTGTCAAATAAATTAGTAAGTAATAAAATATTAAGAAAAAATTGCAGTAATAGTTTTTTGAAAGTAAAAGATACGAAAATATTTTAAAATTTTACATGTGAATAAATAAACTTGAATTGATTTAATAAGAATGAAAATTAATTTAGCAGATATTTAATAATTTTAATAATTTTTTTAACAAATAAATTATGGCAAAAAAAATTTAGAAAGAAAAAATTGACGTAGAAATTTTAAAAAATAAAAAATGCAATTTTTTAAAAATAATTTTTCAAATGGATAATTAATGAAAATTAATTTAACAATTATTTAATTAATTATTTTTAGAATTTTCGTTACAAATAAATTATGGAAACAAAAATGGAAATTTAGAAATTTAAAAAAATTAAAAATGCAATTTTTTTAAAAAATAATTTTTTCAAACCAAATTTTTTTTGTTAAAAAAAAAATTAGAAAATGGTCAAGACTGCTAACTTTAATATCATTTAATAAGAAGTTAATTAGATGTCTATAAGATAAAAAGTAAAATATAACATGTGTCTGTTCATTCATAAAGTTAAGTGCTGGTTGTATTCTAACTGTTTACATGACGAATTCGACTTCAATAAATCTTATAATGACACTCGAACCTTGCAATTAAAAATTATAGGAAGAAAGTAAAATAAAAATATTAGAAATTAATTTATACAACTGTGTAAAAGAAAATATAAGCTATTTTGATAAATGAAGTGATACAAATTTTAAATAATAAGAAAAAATTTATGATAAAAAGTTATAATTAATTCTTAGCAACATAATGTAAGTATTATTACATCATTATGTTTTATTTTTTAGATTCACAAATTTTCGATTTGTTTATCAAAAAACTAAGTACACAAAATTACCAGTTGTCATTTTCAATAGTTAAATTATTTTATGTTTGATTTGAATTATTAGATGTTAATTTCTATATAATTTTTTTTTAACCAGTAAAAAAAATTTAATAAAGTCGATAAAAAATATTTTTATAAAATTTTATGGATTTGTGAAAACTTTCAAAATTTCATGAAAATAATACAAAATTTAAACCAACTTAAAATTAAAATATCTAGTAAATTATAGCAAAAAAGCTTAAAATTATGAAATTTCTATCGACAGCTTAATAACAAGAAATAAAATAATTTACAGTTCAACAGAATCCAAAAAAATTGGCCAAGATGCAACGAAACAACGATCATCGATTGACGACAATGAAATAGAGCATCATGGAAAATTATCAGAATTATGGTGGAACACAATGGGACCAATGCGTGCTTTGCATGCTTACAATCCTATCCGTGTTCAATTTATCCGAGATGGGCTGAAAAACACTGGATTGAATGAAAAGCATCCTCGCTACCCACTAGAAGGAGTACGAATTCTGGATGTTGGGTGTGGTGCCGGAATTCTCTCCGAAGCTTTGGCAAGAATCGGTGCTAATGTTACAGGAATCGATGGCTCGGAGCAATTGATTGAAACTGCTAAAAAACACGCGTCTTTAGATTCAAATTTGTCCAAAAATTTGAGTTACTCGATCACTTCCGTTGAAGATCATGTTGCGGATAACAAATCAGAAATTTATGATGCGGTTGTTGCTTCAGAAGTTATCGAACATGTTTCTAATAAAGATATTTTTGTAAAAGTGAGTATTAAGTTTTTCAATTATTAAAATCAGTTATAGTTTTTTTAATTGATTTAAAAACATTGAATAAAATTATTTTTATTTTTTGTCAACAGTACTGCGCCAAAGCATTGAAACCAGGAGGTTCTATTTTTATCACAACATTGAATAAAACTATTCCGTCGTTTCTAGGCGGGATTGTTTGTGCTGAATATATTTTACGCGCAATTCCTATTGGAACTCATGAGTGGAGTAAATTTATTTCACCTGAAGATACTCAACGCCTATTAGATCAACGTAAGAATTTAGTAGATAAAAAATCAAGCTGTATGAATGAGTATGGCTTCAATTATTTTTGTGTAAACAATCATAAGATTGAAATATCAAATTATTGTTTAAGAATATGGAAATAAAGAATATTTTATTGGGCTGGAAAAAAAAAATTAAATGATATTAATTGAAACATTGAGAGTGAAAATCCAGAAAAGGTTACGGAAAAATCATTCACAAATCTAAGTTAATATCAATTGTTTTTTTCATCATTATTAAGAATTAAAAAAGTATATTTAGTAAATATTTTTATACTTTGAATTTATAACGTAGCAGGAAAAATTATCTTTAATTAAAAAAAAAAACAAACTTTACTTTTACACGAAAAAATTTCTCACAATTTTAATTTGTAAAACCTCAAATTTATTAAACTAAATTTTGATATTGAATTAGTCCAATTTAATTTCAATCTTTTGATTTTTTGCACCTTAAAATTAAAGAAGCTAAAGTTGCATATTTACTTGAAATAAAGACTCAATTGCGGTAAATTTATCAATGAAAAACTTACATTTTGCATATATAATTTAAAAATTAATTTAGATTTAAAAAATTTTAGTAAGTTATCCATCTTAAAATTAAAAAAATGGAAATAATGTTTAAATCTTGAAAGAGCGATCTTTTTCTACCTGTGAATGAAAGTGTAAACTATAATTTTGGAATGCCGGTGACTTTATTCGTAATTGGCTGTTTTTTAATTTTATAATAATTGAATAATTTATAAAACAATTGAAAAATTTTTTATTTACTGCTACTGAGGTAAAAATTGAAATAATTTGTTTTGTTAAATAGATGGATGCTGTACACAGTTAGTTCATGGAGTATTTTTCAATCCTCTAACAAATACATGGAATTGGACATCTTCGAAAAATATTTTCTACGCTTTACATGCCGTTAAATCAGAGACTTAATTATTAATTATTGGAAAATTGTTATTTCAGTTTTTTTATATTAAATTTAATAAAGAAAACTTTTAATTCAAAAACTGAGTAATTAATTAAAAAATATTAAAAAAAATCATTTATTAAAATTATAAAATTGAAATCATCAGACACCTCACAATTTTTTTGTTTTTTATAAAAAATAAATCAACACCAAGAAGAAATTAAAAGAAGGAATTGCATTAAATGTTTTCAATTAAAAAGTACCTAATTTTTAAGGAATATAATTATTAAAGTTTTTTTTATAAAAAATTGAATAATTAATTGAAAGCTTTAAAAAAAAAATTAATTTTCAAAATGTAGATAGCAACTTTTCAATAGAAAAAAAAAAAAATTAACACTTATTTTAACACTATTTAAAATAGCGCGTACATTTTAAAATAACAAAACCGCATGCGCAAGGAACACGCGCGCCATAACCTCAGAAAAAAAACACTAAACATATATTTACATACGTATATATACATATTTCTACGTCGTGTGAATAATTTTTAATAGATGGAATTACGTCACAATAAAAATAACCAATTGTTTTCCTTTGGATAATCAGTAATCATTTTTTTTTCTTTTAATTTAAATTATCAAGTGAATTACGTAGTCATTAAATTTATTTAACCAAGAGTACTCAGTGCTTTCAAGTCAGTCGAGTTCTGCTTGCTGTCAGTGACGGTTCTTCATTATCTGGATCTAGATCGCATGTAAATCATAACAATAACATTGAAATTTTTACTTTATTATCATTACTACTATTACTATAGTTATTTGATTTATAGATAATCAAATTTAGCTAAGTACAGCTGATTTTAATAATAATAAATCAAAATAGACAAGGCCACAGTGACGTTCTGATCCTATTACAATAATTGCGAATTAAATGATTGTAATGACTGTGGATTATGTTGCCCTTTAGAACCAGTGAAATCAAGTGAAATTTTATAAAAAATTATTTCAACTAAGTAATTAAACGCAAAATGAATTTGTCATTCGCTGGCTGTGGATTTTTGGGAATTTACCACGTTGGAGTAGCGGTTTGCTTCAAAAAATACGCGCCGCATTTGTTGTTGGACAAAATAAGTGGTGCATCAGCGGGTGCTATTGCTGCGTGCTGTCTTCTGTGTGATTTACCCCTCGGTGAGTGAACTATATCATAATAATTATTTTGTTTGTCTTATTTCTTCATTACTTTTATTATATTCAACTCTTTGTTTATGTGTTACTACATATATTAATTAACTGATACTCTGACTCGGTATCGGATGTCTATTTTTAATTCCTGGATATAATTAGTCATTTTATTATTTTAAATGTTTTTATCAGTTAGATTATTTCGCTTTAAATATTTTTATTGTTTTACAAGCGATTTATCCAGTTTTCAAGTTTTAATAATATTTTTTATTAAACATTTCGTATTAATTACAAAATTAGAAAGATATATTTAAAAAATTTTTATGATAGTGAATTTAATAAACATCTATCAATTTTTTGAATTTTTATGACTACTAAATTAGTATAAAAAACTTTAATCAAAAAATTCCACATTTAAAAATTTTAAATAATTACAGGTGAAAATTTTTTAAAAATATTTTTTTTTTTTTGAATAAAAATACAAAAAATTTTCAGTTGTCTGTTGATTTCAGTATCGTAGTTTTTTTTTTATTTATTCAATAAATACCAATAGTTGAACTCCAATTTTTAAATTAATTCTGGAAGAAATAGCGCGGAAAAAAATATTATAAAAAATTTGATAAAGATATTGTTAAAAAAGTTACATTATTTGATTTGGGAAAAAATGTAATTTTTATACGATCTTTAATCGATTTTTAGCTGAAATTCGTATTAAACTAAAAAAAAAAATTAAAGAAATTTTGAGAAAATAAAATATTTAAAAATTTAGTGAAGATAAAAAGAAATTTTGCAAGACGTTTTAAGCGCGCTACATTTTTATTTAAAATAAATGTTTGATAGATTGGTACTTAATTAACATTTTGTTGGGTGGTTACTATTTGATATAAATAACTATTTAATTTAATAAGATATAAGTTAGTAATTTCGATGAAAGACTTCTAGAAATCTTTCGACTTCTCAAAGATTATCTAATCTGCTGCCCTTGACCAGTTCTCATTAATATTTTTCTTAAATAATCATAAACTTAACAAAATCGATCTTAATAACACCAAAATCTATTTTTAATTAGACCATTCTTATCACAGATCAACAAAAAAAAACAATTAGAATTAGTGTATTTATGTAGAAATTACATAAACAGCTCGTTTTTCACTTGTCATCTAAGCATGAGTAGAGAAAATTCGAAAGAGTTCAAATTTCAAACTCTAATTGTAAGGTAAAAGACCCAATAGATGATCATGTACCAGTATATGATCACTCCATGTATTTGTATATCTATATTCACAAATATAATATTGGCAATAATTTATTTATTTATTTGTTTAATACCTATCGGCAGTGTAGATCAATATGTAATTTTTAATATTAAGTATGAGGAAACATACAAAGTAATATTTTATAATCAACATCTAGTGCCAAATTATAATAATAATACTGTCAAAGTAATTGTTGAAAAATAAATTTAAGTATTTATAAATCAACTGAAAATTATAAAATTTATAAAATAAAAATTAAATCACTAGTATAATTGAACCGAATAAAAACCGCAATTTATGTTCATATTATTTTTCTACAAATTTTACATTTTACACAATTATTTTAGTTATGAATGTAAGCATGGATTTTTTAATTTTTAACTATCATAATAGAAATAAAATCTGTTGCTTTGTTCAATGATTAATGAATCCTATTAAACTACTCCAATTAATTATCATAATATAAAAATAAAAATTCATTTCAATCCATCAAAAATAAACAATATTTATCGAGCTCAAGCTTCCCTACAAAGAGAATTGATCAATAATTTTACTTATCTTGGTCTTTATTACTCATCATTAACATTTAACATAGGCTCCATTATTATCAATTATCTTTAAGTAAAAAAAAAGAAAATAAACAAACAAATAACAACAAATATTGAATCACAAATAGAACAACTAATAATAATAATAAATACAAAATCTTCGAAATATTTTTTTTTTATGAATTAATATTATAAATTTCTATTAGATAATATTTTTTATTTAATCAATTATCATAATGTGTTAAGTAGAACGTGCAGCAGATGTTGATAACTGGGTCAAGCTTTTGATTATTTTCTTTTCATTTTTACAACATTATTGCAGTAAAATAGTGAATCACGTAATGTACAATAGCTAAATAAATATTTTTCAAGGTTTTGTTACGCGTGTTATATTCACAATTTAAAAGTTATTTATCTTCAGCTACACTAAAAAATGCAAAAATGCGTTTAACAAAGTGTGACAGTGAACTTATTATCTTTTTTATTACTAGGAAATAATTATTATTATTTATTGAAAAATAATTTATAATAAAAATATTTATTTTAATTATTTCTTCTTTGTAGCGTTTAATTCTATTAATGGTTACAAATTGATAATCGGTTGAATTTGATAAAGGTTAAAAACCTTTTGATATTCACAACAAAAAGACTGTTGATAAGATTTTAGATACTGTAATTATCAGTCAATATTTTATTAATAAATATTCATTATTGATATCCACTCCGTTTATGTTCAATATTTAAATCTAACAAATAATAATAGAAAGTGTGATATTATTGTTTAATTATTTGAAGTCTTAAATAACGTAAAATAAATTCTATAAAATAAAGATTTGAAACTTAGTACACACTAAAAAAAAAACTTAAGTTGGGAACAAAAATATATTCTAAAAAATTTCACTCTTTAAAATATTCAATTTTTTTTATTCAAGCAATTAAATCTGATTATTGCATTTTTAGTAGATTTCATAGAAATCTAACTATTGCATTGGTCCTCATGACGGAACTTTTAGAAAATTTTGCTATATTCCGACTTAACTCGACGAGCTGAATCAGAAAATACATATGGTTCAAAAGTTTGTGTATGTATACATATGAGATATAACGCGGCTTGTCACGACGATAGCGTCAACAATTCTTAAGGGATCCTAATAAAACTCAACATACTTTTTTATAGACAATTATGAAGGTTAAGTTCAAATATGAGCTCAATCGGTCAATTAGTATTGGAAATTACAGTATTTTAAAATTTTGAAAATTCAAAAATTTCATACTATCACTACTTCTCCTTCAAATAACTTTTGAACGCGTTGAAATATCCAATTTCTGTAAAATGCATCTGAGAGCTGAGATCATGTTAAGCTTCAATTTACATGTTTTTCTAAATAAAAAAAAAAAAATCTCAGGATCATTGTTAAGAAATTTTACTTTTGCAGTTTTTTTGTCCACAGAAATGAAATAAAATGAAATCTACTTCCATTTCGGATGCCAAATGGCCTTTTTTACTATTTTGATTGAAAAATCTAGATATTGAACGAAGAATATAAAATTTTTAAAAGAAGATAAAATTACTGTTAGTTTTCGAGAGTTTTTTATGTCGTTTAAAGATAATATACCCTTGAATCAAGGAATCAAGTAACAATAGTTACCAACCGAAGATATTGGTCTCTGAAACCAAGATTACGGGATTGCAGATAAAAAAGACTTAAAGACAACCGATTACCTTCAAAATAAGTTTCTTAGAAAAAATGTCTCACGTTTAATTTTAATTTCGTATAAAAATTAAAAAAAAAATCAGATATCAGATCAATTTCTTATAATTATCTATTTGAATGAAATATTCATGATAAATTTATTTGTTTCAGGACTCTTCACACAAGATTTATTAAAAGTAAGCAAAGAAGCAAGAAGAAAGACACTAGGACCATTTAGCCCCACATTCAATGTCCAAGCTATTCTATTAGAATCATTGCAAAAGGTATTTCTATTCATTCAATAAATGAATATATTCATGATCAGTCAATGATGAAAAAATTAACTGGATTCAAAGAAAGAAATCTTGAACTAAAAAAATTTACTTAAACCAAGAAATTATTTTTTTTTTTTCAAGAAATCTGCTTGATATAAAGGAAATTTATTTTTTATTAATGTAATTTTTAATTTACAGTATTTACCGGAAGATGCCCACACTAGAGTTAACGGAAAACTCCATATATCATTAACGAGAGTTTACGATGGACAAAATGTTATTGTATCACAGTTCAATTCAAGAGAAGATTTATTCCAGGTAATTCAAGATATTTCTTGTATTTGTTTAATAATTAACTAGCAACCTATAGTCACTGTACGACTGCCAAGGTTTGCGAATTATGAATAGGAAAATTTTTACTTAGTGATTTTTTGATATTTTTAATCACACTATAGTTTGGGTACTTTTTGAATAAATTAAAAAAATAATAGTTCTGCCACAGGATCAATTACAAATAATTAAGTGAACAAATGAGACGGAACAAATTTATAGAACCAATAAACTATTCAAAACTGCTCCAAAAATTTAACATAAAACATTGAATATCACTAAAATAATAACATAATACCATAAAAAGGCAAGAATTATTATCAAGACCTTTCTGATGATGCCAAATTTAACTATAAAAATTCCTTTCAAAATAATAATATGCGTGTCACAAAATTTTCCTTACTCTTTCAATTATTTAAATCATAAATGACTATTTGGCTGAAAAAATATCAAAAACAATTTACGATAAAGATATACCCGTTACAAAATTTTTCTCAGTCTCTTAATTATATAAATTAATTCTTGACTTATAACCACAGTCACATGTACAAAGTAAAATAAATAAAGCAACAAATAACGTTTATGGCTAAATTCGAATCTAATTATAACTACTTTAAAAACTTACAATAATAAATTAGTTATTGCTTAAAAGTATATGAAACATTGAAAAGGCTCAAATTAAGATCAAGACCTTTCCAATGATACTAAATTAAATTTTAAAAAATCATTAAAATGATAAATAACATTAATACGCAGGAGACAAAATTTTCCTTATTCTCTTAATTATATAGATAATTTAACTTATCAATCATGATCGTTTTTACAGGCTCTTCTTGCAACATCATTTGTACCAATATTTTCTGGTCTACTACCCCCACGTTTCCATGGAATTCGTTACATGGACGGAGGCTTTAGTGATAATTTACCAACGTTAGACGATAATACAATAACAATAAGTCCTTTTTGTGGCGAAAGTGACATTTGTCCCCGTGATTTTGCGTCACAAATGTTTCACGTAAATGTTGCCAATACGAGTATTGAGTTGTCACGCGATAATATTTATCGCTTCGCACGAATTTTATTCCCACCTAATCCAGAGGTATGTTTTTTTTTTCTTATTATATTACTACTAATAATAATTGTTAAAAATAACCAAATACTGTTTTTATTTTTGACTTCGATCTTAAATTTGTTGAATTATCCAAAAATAAAAACAGATAAATTGTTGATGAATCAACAATCTATATTGCGTCGGTTGACCGTTTAATTAATCGGATAATTAATTATTCATAAAGTTAGTACATATTAAATACTGCATATGCGTAAATTCATTGTTAGCAATGGAAAATTATTTATTTTCTTTCGATTTCATAATTGTTTTCGGAGGTATAATTACATTTGTAACGTAATTGTATCATATTTATAAAGAATTAATGAGGTTAGGTCAATTATTTATTCATAACTGATCATGAAAACTCTTTTGTAAAAACAATCATTTCCTTTTCTAAAAAAAAAAAACGTACGAAGGTGATTAACCTCCTTATTAACGAGAGTTTAAACTTTCAAATGCCCTCAATTGACCTAAAACTCTTTCCTGAAGAAAAGTCGTTCAATAACCTTTCAATCAAACAACTATTTTTTTGCCTTTCAACTTTGGTATAAAAGTGTCGCTTCAAAATAATTACCTGTAATTATTTTTACACGACCGATAAGTAGGTTAGTGTCCGATTTTTAAGTAGGACGTAATAAAAATTTGTAATCAAAAGTCGAACTAATTTTTTAATTCATAGATAAGATTTAAATTTATAAAAAATAATGAAGAAATATTTGTAATTAAATTAATTATTTTAAATTTCAGATTTTATCAAAAATGTGTCAACAAGGTTTCGACGATGCACTGAGATTTTTACATCGCAATAATCTCATAAGTTGTACTCGTTGCGTGGCGATACAATCACCGTTTGTTGTATCAGAAACACTTGACGATAACACTGAATACGATCCTGAGTGTATTGAGTGCAAAATCCATCGGCAGGAGGCGTTAATGGCTGATTTACCAGAAACTGTGATGACTATTCTTCAAGACGCCATTGATTCGGCGAATAAAGGGATCATTAATTGGTTATTTAAACAGAAAAGTTTTAAATTATTGTCTGTTTTAAGTCTTCCCTACACATTACCAGTTGATGTTATGTGTGCTACTATAAATAAGTAAGTTTTGGTGGATTTTTAATGTAATTAATAGAACGATTAATCGATTACATTAAAAACTTGGGAAGAAATATTTTCAATAAAGGGTCATTCTGGTTCCAACGTTCGAAAAAAACCAATATTCATGATTTTTTTATACAGAAACTATTATAGATATTTATATAAAGTTTATTTAACTCAGTGAATATACTCTTAAATCACACAAAAAATATTTAAATTTATTTTTATTTTTTATATAAATAAACAACGGGTGAATGGAGCTCCTCCAAAAGTTGCTATGTCGCTAACGTACATGATTACTTAATACCGGCTCATCTTGAACACAAAAACCAAAATTATTTATGTTAAATATATAAGTAGTTATTGCACCAGCTACGAAGATTAATATTTATTGATAAATAACAAAATGACGGACTTGAAAAAAAAAAAAAAAAATAAATAATGAGATTTTCTTTTACAGTTTTTAGTCCTAAAAAAATAGTAAAAATCAAAATTTTGATTTGGTTGGAGCTGATGCAATAGTTACTATCATGAAGAATATGTGGTTTGAATTTCATTAAGATCGGATCAGTAGGTCCGGAGATATCATGTACGTCAACCGCCAAAACATAGTTCTGAGATAAACGCATTTAAAGTTATTTTCATTAAAGAACCAAAATCTTACCTAAAGTCAATCAGCTATGCCGTCACCATACATTAGTCCGATCACTTAGAAATTTTAACCCAACACTTTTAGATGCATGTGCTTTCAAAAAATGTGAAAAAAAAAAATTTTTTTTTGAAAGTTCCAAACCAGAATGCCTCCTTAAATTTCGTCAAAATTTAGTAGTAAAATTTCATTAAATTGCATTGAATTTTAACAAAATTCACAAAATTTCGCAAAATGATCTAAACTCAAAAGTAATAATTTTATGAAATTCTATTAATTTTTAGACAAGATGAAAGTTTTATATAAATTTTATACAACTTTGAAAAATTTCATTAACATTTTTATAGACTGAAAATATTGCTAAGAAATTTAAAAATAATCGATGAGTTTTTATGAAAAAATTTTTTTCCAGTAAAAATAAATTATTCGTTAATAATTAATTTTTTATTTCAGAATTATTTCAACGGCACCGAAATTAAGTGGTCATATTGTTGGAATAATAAGAGATGTAGTTAAGCAGTTGAATTTAATATTACCAACAATAAATATTCAATTTATATCGATAACTGATTTGATAAGATTCCAAGTCGCATTGGCTAAATATAAAAGTAAGTATTTTTTTGTATCAATCAAATATCGAATTTTTTTTTTCCTTTGTAAAAAAAGATGAGCTAATCATTGCGTTAATTTTAAGAAAGTTGCTTAAAAAAAAAAAAAAAGAAAAAAATGTTTTAAAAAAAAATTAATTTAAATCCAACAGAGAATTACAATGAAGATAACATCGATGGAATCAAGTCATGTCGTCATGATTCGCATGTAGACAACCGTGACAATTTTGAAAATATTCTACAAGGAACTTCTGACTATGAAGCGCTGATGGCTTACTATTACATGAATCAGAATAAGAATACCACTGCAATAACCGATTTATTTGAATTAAAAAATCAAAAGTACAATTCAAATATGAACTTAGACAAAAATAACGTCAATGTACAATTTAGCGACATTGATTCTTGGGATGAACCTGATTGGATTGCTCAACATACACTTGCCGATGGTAATTATAATAAATATTTTATTAAATAAATACTAGCAATCTGCAGTCACTATGTGACTGCTAAGATTTACGAATTATGAATAGGAAAATTTTGGTTTAATGATTTTTTGATATTTTTAATCACACTATACATAGTTTGGGTACTATTTAAATAACTTAAAAAAATAATGGTGCTATCACAGAATCAATTACAAATAATTTAGTGAACAAATGTGACGGAACAAATTTATAGAACCAATAAACTATTCAAAATTGCTCCAAAAATTTAACATAAAAAATTGAATATCACTGAAAAATATATAAAACCGTGAAAAGGCACAAATTCTTATCAAGACCTTTCTAATGATAGCAAATTTAACTATAAAAATGAAGATATACCCGTTAAAAAATTTTTCTAAGTCTTTTTTGCTCTTTGAGTATTAACTGAGTTGACAAATATCAACAAGAATATTTTTTTATGACAGTAGATACTTTAAAAAATACTATTTTTTGTGATGAATGCGCGTTATGAGATGTGCACTTTTTGATTTTCTAAACTTCTTAGGACTACTTCGAAAACTTATCATAATAAATTAGCTATTGCTGAAAAGCATATGAAACATTGAAAAGGCTTAAATTCAGATCAAGACCTTTTCTAAATTTACTAAATTTAATTTAAAAAACTCTTTTTATAAAATAAATACACTGGAGACAAAATTTTCCTTATTTTAATTATATAAACTAGCAACTAAATAATGACTTTTGTTAAATTGCTCTGTACTTTCTTGAATATTGACGTCTTTAAAGATGTAAGCTCATCTTGATGTTACACTCATCAAGAGCTTTCATTTGAGTACCCACATGCATTTTGATATATTTTTCATATATACATATATATAATATACATAGTGCAACGTCGGGGTGAGCTTATATCTTCAAAAATGTCAATAGTTCACAAGATGCAAGGTAATTT